TCCGATAATGTACTTCAGGACTGAGAGGATGCAGACGTATTAGGATGCATGGGAAAGCAAAGTTATTACAAGGGAAGTTCCATTTTTTCCCAATTTATGGTATTTACCTGGCCCCAATTACCACAGTACCTGAGCGCCTCTCCCCTCCATCAGGTAAGGAAGTGCTATTGGTCCAACTTTTTATAGTCTGTAAGGCCAGAAGGTACCACTGTGATCATCTAGTCTGACCTCCTGTCAGGCCAGAGAACTTTCCCCAAATAATTCCCATTTTACAGATGGGGAGCCTAAGTGTTACACACAGAGAGCCTAAGTGGTCTGCCCAAAGTCTCACAGAGAATCTGTGTCAGAGCAAGGAATTTACCCAGATGGCTCAAGTCCTAGGCTTGCTCTAGCCACTGGGCCATCCTTCCTCTCTCTAAATCCCTTCTTCCTCATGAATGTTAAGGATTGCTGCATCCTTTAAATCCTACTCTACCACCGGGAGTCAGGTGCTCCCAGTCTGGAAATATTACAGTGGCCTCTCCCACAGACACATCATTAATTGCTATGGAGATAGTGACACAGTGGCACACAGATTATAAAGGTATTTAAGCTCCTAGTGGTATTTTTGAAAGCACCTAAATGCCTAAAAAGCCAGGTGGATAACGAGATTATATATATATATCTCAATTTTTTTATTGAAGTTAATTTTTTAAAAAGAAACAAAGTATATCTGTTCAAACAAATCTCATATAATGACAATTTCAGTTAAGGCCTAAACTTTACTATAATCTATTTAAACCATTTTCATTACATAAAAAATAATATTCAAGCAATACTTGTTTGCTGCCAAGCTTTAAAGAAAGTCAGACCACTGAACTAGTGCAAGTCTCTGGCTAAGCAGAGTTTGCTGAAGTGCTAAACAGCAGTAGTGCAAGACAGCAGTAGCCTCTTCTGCAGGTGCAGAGAGAATATTTTCTTTATTTCAGTTTATTCAATTAGTTCAGTTAAATTACTAGCTCATTCAAAGTTAAAAAACCAACTAGGAGCTGAAAAAGGAGAAAGTTTGTTCACCAATCTATGAATAAAACTGAAGCATGAGAGGTTGAGATCTGCTAGTTCTAAAATCTTGAAGGACATGGTGACCAGAATCAATCAGTTCAACGCACTAGCTACAGATCATACTTCCTTTGCTTATTAAATCAGTTTTAAAAACAAAACATGTTTTGATCGACTTAATTTTTTTCCCTCATGAATCTAGCAAGGTAGTTTTATTTAGCTAACAGAAAATTTTAAAATGCTGATTTTGTGCATTTAATTGAACTCCATTTTCCATCCAAATGCAGCCTGACATAGATCACAAGTAAACAAATAATTATCATCTAGTAAAGGAGAAATGTGTCCATATTTTCTAACAGAATAAAAAGAAGTAAAAATTAAGAATCTGAGTAAATGTAAGCAAAGCTATATAATTGCTTAAATAACTATGTATCGCTAAGATATATTCTCCTGGTTAGTAAAAAAGTAGTACCAAAACATACCTCAGCCTTTCTTTAGGAATATAACTAAAAAGTACAAATACAAAACAAAATTAAAATTGATTATTTAAATCAAAGCTTCCTGCTTGCTGATTTAAATCACTGATTTAAAAATCAACCGACCCTGCACAGACACTTTTGAAAATCCCACTAGGCACCTGAATACCTTTAAAAATCTGGCCCTATATTTTCCAAATACTGGATTTCTGTTTGCTTGGTTCCTTTTAGTTCTCATAAAAGATGCTGGCCTGACAGACCAGGAAAGTTCTATTTATCCACCAACGAGGTAAACAGGTAACACCATAACCTTCTATAGACTGCCCTGCCAACACGCCCCACCCGTTCTAGAGAACAGAACCCATCTCTATGTACATTCAGTTATTATTATAGATGGAGCACGAGCAAAGTTACATAAGGGTTTTCATTCTGTTGCTTACAATTTGTTAATCTTTTCTGTTCTGGCTGAATATAGGCAGGGCTGTTCTTCATCTGGGAGTGACATTGTTCCCCTTAAATTTTAGTCAAAATAGATCAGTAGTTTCAAGAACAAAGAACATGGAAAAAAATATACCTTTTCAGTTATCAAGAAAAGAAAGTAATTTTTCTCTAACAGCTCTAGCACATCCACGGTACATAGTAAGAACTAGACATTTGGGGTAGAGATAGTCCCGTGGTTACAGCTGGGCCTGCCTTTTGGTGGTTATGATCTGTTAAAGTTATAAGTATTTTTAAAATGTGCTTGGAACATGTGTGCTGGATTCGGTAATGCGGTTTTAACGTTTGCCAACATTCTCCTGGTTCAGCGTGTGTGCATAACACAGAAAATACCACAGGCCATATGAGTAAATAGATTAGATAGGGCGGTGCAGATTTGACTGACAGAAACTGAACAAAGACATCTCATTTCACAGAGGTCACTAAGAGCCACCAGTTAGCAACAAACGTCAGTTACTACCAGCCAGGCCTGGTAGGAAAGGTTCTGTCAAGTACTGCCAGTCACCTGACCCAAGCAGTTCCACTCTACAAAACTGCTTTGGATATTAATATAATGCAGCCAGAGCATCCTCCACTTCCTTCCAAGTCAATGGAAGGTGCACGTGCTAAATACCTCTCAGTGGATGCTTTGAGGATCAGGGCCCTGTTAAGAAACTGTTTCGGTTGGATATTATAAATAACCTGAACGTACTATAGCCAGAAACAAAGTTGCTTGACTGTTTTCATACACTGAACTATTGTACATTTTTCCCCATGAAAATTAAGTTTTTAAAATAGGGTGATCAGACGTCCCGATTTTATTGGGACTGTCCTGATATTTGCTTGTTTGTCCTGCGTCCCAACCAATGTTAGGTCGGGACACTGGACAAACAAGCAAAGGCTCCGGAGCCCAGAAGGGCTTGCGCCCCCCCGCCCCGACTCCGCTCCCTCCTTCCCCCATTGGCTCCCTCCCCAAATCCCCACCTCTTCCCCAAGCCATTCCTCCTCCCTCCACAAGCGCTGGAGGGAGGCTCTGGAGACACAGGGGGAGCGTGGGGGCGGGATGAGTGAGAGTCCGGCCTGGCCCCGAGCGCAGGCAGGACTCAGTCGGGCAGTACCTGGAAGGAGAGTAGGGGGGCGACCCGTGGGGCCAGGCGGCGGCTGTTCTCCCCCCCTGGGCAGCGGGACTCGGGAGCAGCTGCTGCTGCAGCTCCCACTGCCGCGGGGGGAGGA